GTGTGTGCGTGTGCGTGTGCGTGTGCGTGTGCGTGTGTGTGTGTGTGTGTGTGTGTGTGTGTGTGTGTGTGTGTTTGTGTGAATGTGTACATGCACATACCTGTGGAGGCCACAAAGGATGTCAGATCCTTTGGATTGGAGTTAATAGATGATTGCCAGCCTTTTAACCAAATTCTGAGTGCTGAGATCCAAATTCCAGGCCTGTACAAGTTCAACAAGCAGTCTTAATTGCAGAACCCATTCTCCATTCTCCAAGAGAATCTTAACATGTCTTTTACTAATTATCCTCATTTACAAAGGACAATTTATGATTACCAAGCCTTCACCATCAAAAGAAAGAATCTGTGTGTCTATAAAATCCTTCCTGAGCCACAGAAAGCATGCTGTCATTTGCACAGGTCATGTGTTATGGAGCCTGTAGCAAACCATCTGTTTTATTATTTTATAGCACTGGGCATGGAACCCAGGCCCCATGCATGTTAGACAAGCACTCTACCCTTGACCTAAATCCATAAGTAAACTCTCTCTCTTAATCCCTTGATGCCTGTTACAGAGCTGATGCAGACACATTGCGTGATGCTCTCAATGCCCTCACAGAAAACATGGCTGAGGAAGACAAAGACAGGTTTCAACGTGACTTGCAGGACATGGAGAGTTTTGTGAATATGTTTCCTCAGGTGCAACTGGAACTCGAGGGGCACATTAAGAAGCTCCAGATCCTTGCAGATAAAGTTGACAAGGTTCACAGGGATTGCACCATCTCCAAGGTGGTGGCCAGCTCCACCAGCACTGTTTCTGGAGTCCTCACCCTCCTTGGCCTTACTCTGGTACCTGTGACAGCTGGGGCCAGTCTGGTGCTCTTGGCAACAGGGATGGGATTGGGAGCAGCGGCGGCTGTGACTAGTGTCTCCACTGGTATTGTGGACTACACAAGTGAGTCATCAGCCAAAATGAGAGCCAGCCACCTGGTGGCAACCAGCATGGTCAAAGTGAAGAAAGTTGCAGAAGCTGTGGTTCATTCAGAGCCCCAAGTCTATGAGTTATCTGAGAATTGTTGCCGAGTCCTGCGATGCCTTCAACAGAACATCTATGTCATCAAGCTCACCAAAGCCAACCCTGCATTAGCATCCAGTGCCAAGCACCTCTTGACCATAGGGGGCATCTCTGCCCAAAGAGACAATCAGGTGAAGAAAGCTTATAGGGGCACTGCCCTGGCAATAAGCAGAAGAGACTGGGTCATGAATGTAGCCACCACAGGTGTGTCCCTCACTGGGGATATGATTGGCCTTGTGAAAGAATCCAAGCGTTTGCACAAAGGGGCAAAGGTGAAGTCAGCTGAGGAGTTGAGGAAGCAGGCGCAGGAGCTGGAGGAGAAATTGAAGGTGCTTATCCAGATCCATGACAGTTTGCAGTCAGGTTCAACTCAGTAACATGCTTCCTCCCCCAAAGCATGCAGAAGTCTTGGGAGGTGTTCGGAGCAGAGACAGGGACATGTTGTTAGAGGAAATCAAGCCCCTCTAGCAGGCTGTTCAGGATTTAGACATCTTTTCAAAAATTTTGTTGTATATGTATGTGTGTGTATCTGAGCATGTGGGTGTAGGTGCATTCAGAGGCCAGAAGAAGGCACCAGATCTCCTGGAGCTAGAGTTACAGGAGGTTGTGAACTACCTAATATAGGTACTGGGAACTTAATTCCTGTTCTCTGAAAGGTAGCCAGTACTCTTAACTGCTGAGGCACCTTTTCCAGCCAGGGTTTGTCATTTCTGTGTCTGAGCACTGCAAGATAAGTGCAGGTAGCTAATGGAGCAAAGAGAAAGTAGTGGGAACCTGAAATGAGGGGCCAGAGGGGTCTAGAGAGTGTGCTAGTAAAGAACATTTTGGGGGCTTGGATAGGGAGGGCTGTGAGGAGGCAGGGAAACCAACAAGCTGGGAATGGGGGAAAGCCAGAGGGAGAGTTCTGTATGTGGAGGAGCCTCAGTGACTTCCTAGGATGACAGTGGTGGTGGTGACAAGGATGGCGGTCACACCAGAGGGAGCACATCAGTTGCCAAGGGGCCAGGGTGCCCTAGAGAGCAGTGCTGGGGAATGACATGGATCGGAGTGGCACGTCAAGAGACTTTGTGTTGTGTTGAGAGCAGCCAGCTTGTGGTCAAGAGATGAGCCACAGCTTCATCAGGAATGGGGGTTGGGTGGGGGTAGTGGATAAGGCCACCTCTCTCTTCATCTTTCTCTTCCATCTTGTTTTCTACAGTCTTTAGTTCAGTGAATATTAACCAGTGATTCTAGCAAAGTGGAGCATCCCAGCCTGCAGGTCCCAAAATCATATGCAAGGAAAACAGAACATTGGAACATGGCACAGGGTGTGTGATCGCAGAGCATCCATCCTTATCCTAGCCACCTAACTGCTAGATCCACAGCCCCTTCTGTGAGGCAGTGCACTCAGTTCAGGCGCAGAGCACAGCCTTCAGGAGGCACAGAGGCCCGTGTGCTCACAGAGAAGCACTAGGGAAGCAGGAATGCTAACAAGGTTATTCCTTCGAAGGAAGGGATATATAACCTGTTACCCACTCAGAAGACTTGGAGCAGACATGGTTAATAGCTTGGTGACCTTTTGTGCTGTCTTTGAGGACAACACCACACTGGATTCTCCCTCAGACCCTTACTGTGAATTTGTCCATCTGTAGAATCCACCTTTATGAAAAATGTCACATGTACAGAAAGAGTTTTGATGTCATCATGTCTTAAGCGTCATTGTGCATATGGGATAAAGTTAATTGACACCAAATTGTAGTGTGCTTAAATATGCCTAAAATAAACTATTTGAGGGTCAGACTCCTGAAGTTGGAACCAACACTGGCTACTTAGTTGTGCTGGAACAAATTACCTTCTTGCCTCCTGCAGATCGTTACTCTACTGGCCATGGTGGCCGCAGAGACCCCTTGCACAGCCTGTCCTACAAGGCTGCACTCTGTCCTCAAGCTGGCTTCTCCCAGCTGATCTGTAGCTGAATCCCCTTCTGGCCATTTCAGTAGTGTCCCACCTGGTCACTTCCGGGGTTGAGATTCATTAAGTGGCGAGGAGCCAGCCTTGCCGGGGTAAGAGCCATAGTATGTGGATAAGCACAGCCTCTCTCCCTCGTTCTGAAACCTCTTTGGAAACACCGGGCTGCTGGGGAAGGAGTGTAGTCCGACTTTTCTTTGGGCTGCCAGCTCACAAATAATGACATGGAGCTGATATGTTAACCCATACTTTTAAAATCTATATTCTTTCATGTGGCTCATTACCTCATCTCTGTACAGAGGTACATCCTGCTTCCTCAGTGTCTGGCTGGTGACTCTGCCTTTCTTCTACCAGAGCTCTCTCTGTCCAGCCTATACTCTCCTGCGTTCTGAAACCTCTTTGGAAACACCGGGCTGCTGGGGAAGGAGTGTAGTTGGACTTTGGGCTGCCAGTTCATGAATAATGACATGGAGCTCATAAATTAACCCATACTTTTAAAATCTATGTTCTTCCATGTGGCTCATTACCTCATCTCTGTACAGATGTACATCCTGCTTCCTCAGTGTCTGGCTGGTGACTCTCTCTGCCTTTCTTCTACCAGAGCTCTCTCTGTCCAGCCTATACTCTCCTGTCTTAGTCTTAAGCGTCATTGTGCATATGGGATAAAGTTAATTGATACTAAATTGTAGTGTGCTTAAATATGCCTAAAATAAACTATTTGAGGGTCAGACTCCTGAAGTTGGAACCAACACTGGCTACTTAGTTGTGCTGGAACAAATTACCTTCTTGCCTCCTGCAGATCGTTACTCTACTGGCCATGGTGGCCGCAGAGACCCCTTGCACAGCCTGTCCTACAAGGCTGCACTCTGTCCTCAAGCTGGCTTCTCCCAGCTGATCTGTAGCTGC